TTTTTAGATTATGGTGTTGTACATGTTTTCTAGTCTCAACTTTTGATTTCATCAATATTATCCATGTGAACCGATTAAAATCATTAGGGGCAATCAAGAAATATTGGTGACTATGTATAGAGGAAACATAAATAGGTCCCCATATATCAAAGTGTATTAATTCACAAGGCTTAAAAGCTTTACTTGGATTGAATCGAAAAGACAATCTCCTATGTTTGGCAAAATGTTACACATCACAAGTAGAGTTTTCATTCACAGTAATAAAGGGAAATTGTTCATAAATAATTTGTAATCTAGAATGTGACAAATTTCCTGGAAAAAAATTCCATAAGGCTTTTTGAGGTAGATCTTGCAATTCTAAAATTGAGGAGCTTGAGGCAAAAACACCCTTTGCTCCGATCAGTAGGTGATGCAGCCCTTCATGTCTTTCAGCCAAACCAATCACCCTATTGGCTTTTTGCTCCTGAATCAAGCATTCAAAAGTAGTGAAAGTGATTATACAGTTCATGGAAACATATAACTTTGTGACTAACAAAAAATTGAGAGAAAATTCAAGGGCATGAAGGGCTTCGCTAACACAAAATCTAGAAGAAGATGTTACAGTTCCAACATGTTTTGCAAGTGAAAAATGTCCATTGGGGAGCCTAATTCTAACAGGTTCAATGGAATGATAAGTAGCAAAGTACTACACAAAGGAGCATATGTGATGACTTGCTCCTAAATCAACAATCCAAGAGCCAACTTTTCAACTATTTACAAAAAAGGAAATTTGATTTATGCACGTCTTTGGATTTTTAATAGGTGATTTTGTTAGAAAATATGGCTTATCCAAGAGGAAGGGGGTGAATTGGATATTAAAAAATTTCTTCCAGTCTTCTTGGTTTAAAAACTTTTCTAAAACCTGCTAAAGAAGCATATTGATATATAGTTTTATATAGGATATGATGTTGAGATTACATGCAATTTCATATTCAATTAGTCTCATGTGAAATGTTCATGTTTCATGTCATACAATATTAAACATGTAATTGAATTTGCAAGAATGTAAAGACAAGTATAAGGGTAGAGAAAAATGCACAGCAATTTTATACTGGTTCAACCACATCCACTTGTGGATTATATTCAGTCCCTAATCATTCTGATTGAGATTTTTCACTAATCTTTAATGTCAGAAGTTTTACAATCACAATATCACATGCAATATACTTCTGCATCATTAAAAAAACTACTTCTCACACCCTAAAAATCACTTAATTGTAGCACCCTATTACAAGATTTCCATTTCCTAAGAAACCTACTTAAGAAAACAAGTTACATAGATTAAAGAAAAAAATCCACGAGATTGTACAAAACATTTTAGAGTAAGTGAATGAAATCAATGTAACTTAGCTTATATTTTTACAAAGATGATGATCAATTCAATTCTTAAATCCTTTCTCAAGGTTCCCACAAAGAGTGTCAAACCTCTTCTTTCAAAGATAAAATGTTTTTAGGGAGTATTTTTGAAAATAATATCACAATGATTCAAGTTCTCAGGGTTTTGAATGTAAAAAATGATATATAAGACTTTCTAATAGAAATAATCGATTATTTATATGAATAATTGATTATTTTTTTCTTCGTAGATATGAAAATCAACCAAGAGCCATTTAATCAATTATTTTAAGAGATAATCTTTAATTCATAAATCAGTTTCTAAAATAATTGATTATTTTGGTAAATAATCGATTATTACAACAAAACTTCTCAAGTTATTGAAAAATAGAACAAATAATCGATTATTACTTAAAATAATTGATTTTAAGTGAAAAGTTTAATATCTCAATTTTTCATTCAGTTCTTTTTTCAAATCATTTTTAAAAAAAATTTTCATCATCAAACATCATCTAGATAGAAATTTAAAGTTAAGTTACCTTTAAAGCACAAAACATACAAGCAATAAAGCGTAAACACAAAGCAAGATACAATGCACTCTTATAATTCAAAAGACTTATATTTGTAACCATCAAAACTTAATACAATATGTATTTATCTTGAGCTTGATCAACAAATTTACCATGACGTGAGGCCAAGTTGACCTGGTTTGTGGAAATATTTGTTTGCTGGATAAGACTCAACAACTTCTCATACTGCTCTTGTTTAAACATAGGTGTATCTACCTTGATCTCTTCATTCACAGTAGCACTCTCCTTGTACTCAAAAGTTTCACTAGTAGCATTACTCAAACCATAGCCATTTTCCTGCCAATTTGGAGGGTAAACATGCTTTTCGTAGCATGTCTCTATGGTGTGTCTTGATTTACCACAGTATGTGCATATTTTATTTCCATTTATGATATTTGTTCCCACAATATAGCCTTCTCTTCCTCTTCCTTATGATTTTTTGTAATCAACAAAATTAATTAAGATCTTTAACTCAATATTACTTATGAAATCAATTTGTCTTTCATGTTGGAGTACCATAGAAAAATTTGGTTTAAATTAGGCAAAGGATCCGTCAACAAAATTTATGATTTAACCACATAAAATTTTTCATTTAAACCGGGAAAAAACCTAATGGTGTGATTCAAATCATGATAATACCTTGCAATTCAAATTCCTTAAGTATAGGTGTATCTTACTTGCCTCAATCCATAAATTTCTTGTTGTAAATATAAGATCCTAATCAAATATCCTTGTGAGAATCGCTCATTCAACTTTTTCCATACATCGATTGAGTTTTCAAGAAAGACAATGCTTTGGGCAATTAACTCCAACACTAAGTTCATGAGCCATGAATGAATCAGTATGTTGCATTTGCTCAAGCTTTATAGCTTGGCTCAATAAGAGTAGGTACTAGAATTGTTCTATCAATAAATTTGAATTTGTTTTAGCTCTAAGATCTCTCCTTATTGGGCAAGCCCAAAAATGGTAATTAGATTGATTAAGAATTGGTGTGGTTGTAACTACAGAAGGGCCATCACCAAGGTGTAGATAGTATGAGCTAGCTAGGTCTTGGCTTGGGTCTGTGAGTTGATTGCCACCATTATTGTTATTGTTGTTGTTATGCACCATGGTTGAGATGAGCAACAAATTTTAGCTTTGTGATGCCATAATGAGAAAAGTAAATGAGGTAAAAAATGAATAACGAATGGTGTATTCAATCAACTAAAAAAAACTCTTTACATCAATATATATGTTATATAAAGAAAGTAGTATAGTGCATAGTAAGCATGTTATGCCTTATTACATCATATAAAAGTACTATAATAGAATAACAAAAAAGCAACTCCAAAGGTGAGACTAGGGTATTCATTTCCTTCATGTGCGAGAATGCTTTGATCATGATCTTTTAGAATGTTTCCTTTTTTTATTAGGCCTATTAGGTTGTTTTCTTTCAACTGGTTACAAAGAGTGTCAAACTTACGTCATAAGAAACATAAACTTGAATATGATAAATTTACTTTTCTTTAAGCATTGTTCACTAGTTTAGGAATTATTAGTATATGATTGAAATGTGTTTTTTGTCCCTCTTCAAATATTGGAATTGTGTGCTTTTAGTCTTTAAATTTCAATTAGACAATTTTAAGTCATCAAGTATCACAGTTGTACAATTTTGATATATCAAATTTTAATTAAACAATTTTAGTTTTTCTAATACCACAATTGTACAATTATGACACTTGAAAGACTAAACTTGTAAGATAAAAATATAAATATTTAAGTAATATTATTTAATGGGTACCCATGGGTATGGATACTATCATATCCGTTCCCATCCTATTTATAAATGAGTAAAAAATAATATTCATGTTTATTACCCACGAATATCTATTTAACCTACCGATTTATTATTTGTAACAGATTTTATCCGCGAATCTCCGTAGATACGAATATTTTTGTCATCCCTATGTGCAAATAAGCATGACGCTAAAATATGTGAAATGTGTGATGTAACTAAAATTGATTGCAATTTAATCAAAATTTTAATTTTCTTTATATTTATCTAGAATAAAAAAAAAAAGACAATTCAAACCAACGGATATTTTGCTTAAAAAGTGAAATAAATGATAAAATAGTTAAAGCTAAATATGCATGAACAATTTTGAGTTTATTTACAAAGTTTAATAAATAAATTTATAGAAAAGTAGATAAAATAAAATAAAAATGAAAATTAAATTAAAAAAAAATGTGTTTTGAGAGTTAAAAAACAAAATGGCCAACATAATGTATACACTAAAAAGTCATATCTTTACTAAGAACATCATAATGGTGATTCTTACAAATAATTTATTTAAGTTCTTATTTTACTTTAAATGAAATCTACTATGTCATATCATTATTAAGCAATTTACACTTTTTTTTTACAAATTTTGTTCTAATGATAGATATTATAAACAACTCAAACTTTTTATAATTTTTTATTTACACTTCATTTTTTGACAACTTAAGAAAATTAATATAATTGTTATAATTAAATATTAATTTAATTAAACATAAATAATATTTTAACATATAAAAAATTTAATATTGATTTATTGTGTATGAAAAATATTAAATATTAAAAGTATAGAAATTACATAAACATGAGAAATAAATATGGATAATGGATAACTAATTTTTCATTATTGGATAATGAAAAATTCATAATACATGACTTTTTTTTTAATTTGTGGTTTGATGAAAGAATCAAGAGTAAAAAATATTATTTTTTAATTCATAAACAACATTATTTATTTAAGAATTGTTACTTGTTTTTAGATAACCTCATGTCATGTCATCACATTCTAATGAAAATTACTAATAAGTATGATTGTTTATTAGTAAGATACACCACAAACATTCCCTCCCTATTAAGATACTCTAATAGTATAGATAAATGTTAGCTTTGAGAATAATTTTAAGTAATTTAGAATAGAAAAAATTATTTTAAAAGTAAGTAAGAATTATACTTGTAGATGTATCTCTATAGTTTTCTGCTGATTCATATATTTATTTGTTAATAAGAAATTATTTTGAAGATGACTTTAAAAGTAACTTTTATTTTTATGCTGATATATAAACACAAACCATTGTATAAACAGCCATGACCAGCTACTTTTATTTTTCTCACCCATTGTCTCTCTCTATAGGCAACAGAAAATAGCATTGATAAAATACAACTTGTGGTTGTAGTTGTTACAAATCACAGGTAATGCATGTGCATGTAAATCGGTATCGAAGAATTTGACCTTGGTCTTCCCATGAAGATACTCACTGTTTTCCAAGTGGTCTTGTTCTTGAAACCATGTGCTCAGATATCTGTTGACAACACATTGGAGAAGTTTTGAAATACATAAAATTTAAAGGCAATAGCATGAGTATGAACAATTTTGGAAGAACAGAAACATACTCTAACTGTTATAGTTTTGAAATAGCATTACTGTGATACGAAATTTTCTTCTCAAAAGCATTATTGTGATATGAACAATTCTTCTTGCAATAGCATTATCCTCTTGAAGAACATAAAATTTAAATGCAATAGCATGTGAATATTAATGAGTTCCATTCATGATACGTTATAGCTCCTAATAAATTTTAAAGTAAATTACACTCACACTTCTTGTATTTTTTTTAAGATTGTACCCAATACCACTTCATAATTTAAATCTATGATAAGACTCCTTAAAAGTTAAACAAATGTTACACCAACCTTCCCCGGCTCCAAAGATGTGTGTCATGTGACTTGCACATGACTTTTAATGAATTTTTCTCTCCGTAAAATTTCCTCATCTACTCCAATTACTCCACTCACCTCTCTCTTCGCCTCTCTCAACTTCCTCCCCCACTCTCCACCTCTTTAACCGCACCATCACCACCCACAAAAAGTTGAGAGGGGCGAAGGAGAAGGAGAGGTGAGTGGAGCAATTGGAGAAGATGAGGACATTTTAGAAAGAGAAAAATTTATTAAAAATCATGTACAGGTCACATGACATGCATCTTTGGAGTTAGGAGAGGTTGGTGTAATATCTGTTTAACTTTTAAGGAATCTTACTGTAGGTCTAAATTATAAAAGGATATCGGACACAATCTTAAAAAAAATTATAGGGATATGAGTGTAATTTACTCTATATTTTAACCAATAATAGATATTGTGCCAAAGGAGTATATTACTAACACTCCTCTATAACTAATCAAAACACCACTGGTTCCTCTGGCTGATCAGTGACCAGTTTCACAAACAATTAGGATCGTCCTAGATTTGGGTTGAAAGATGACAAAGGAAAAAAATAAGAGGAAAAAATATCCAATATTATTATAACAGCATAATGAATATGATGACAATTTTCCATATCAATAATTAATTGACAAAGATATATTCTTAATCAACATGACTGTATAATTGTACAATTTTTTTGCTTCTGCAACCTACTGTCATCAAGTATTAGCATATTTTTCCTGACTCCTTGTTCCTTTCTCGTTCTTTTTATTGATTATTGTTCTCTGCAGCAAAATTTCAGAGAGAAAAAGAAGGAATAAGAAACAAACCTGCTCAGAATGTGGCAAATATTTTCCATCAAATGTCACTACCACACGATCCTTCCCATCTACTCCTTTAATTTTGTCAACCGAGCAGTAGAAATCTATTGCTGACATACTAAATATGAAATAAAAAATAATGAGATAAAACATCTTTAAAGTTAATATTTACAGACAATATAATAATTTATGCATCAATTTATGGCACTTGTAAGGAATACCATGTTTATCACCTCTAACATCAATCTCATAATCTTTTGAAAATATAAATATTTTCAAAATGGGTTTAATCAAGCATAATATGATATGTTAATTTGGACGTGCATAAAATGACCTATTTTTTTGCACAGAGAGTCTAACCTCAATAAAATAATGTCGCTCCATTATAGAGAATGACTAAGCTCATTTAATTCAAACTAAATTTAATCAAATCATATCTTCTCTTCTACCAACAAAACATGTTATATTTATCTATCTTCATTTGGGTTTGAGATCTAAATAAGATGATAAAATATCAACCTCAACCTTTTAGGTATCAAGATTCAGGACTGGTTTGTTCTCAAACTCAAGTCACATCAATTGCCTTATGAAATTTACACATGCTCACATGAATCATACTAGTGAGATTTTTAGTCCACAGACTGTAACACCCATGGATTTTGCAAGATCTAGATAAATCTGAGACTTGTTCTCTTGTTCGAAAATCAATCAGAAAACATCTAACAAGCATTAGCTAAAGGGTTTAATCACTGAGATTGGTAATCTAGCTAAGGCTGAAACTTTCACCAAATTAGGATATCTGTGTGTCTTGTTTGAAATCCTCCTAGTACTCCATTAATCATCACCTTTTAGTGTCAAACCTTTTTATGATATGATGCTTCCCTTGGTAGGTTTTTGACTTTTACTATTCAAGAGGTTTTAAAATGTAATCTATTTATTGAGACTTAATACTTAAATTATTGCCATATTATTTCTTCTTCAGACAGTTTTTTTTTTTTTTTTTTTCCTTTTTATTTGTAAGTAGAAACAACCAACAAACATGAGGCTTTAGAAAATTGAGGAAAAAAAAATAATGGCATGAATATATATGCATAATCTTATAAACATAATCCTAAAAGTCAACACATCCATATTCTTCCTGTGAATAATTTGTCTGTGTTTTGAAGTATTAAATATTTAATTATTGATAGTCACAATTTTTCTACCAGTGATTGCAACTGCGATAGCAATTATAGGATTATCTATACATAATATTCTATCAATTGAAGATTGTCTCTAAGCATTTTTACAGCAAGTCCGAGTTGCATGACATATAAGTCTTGTCTTATCACCTGGCGTCAACACACATTTAGGAACATTGCTTAAGCACAAACAAGATGCATAACTTACTGCAACATCAGAAATTTAAACTAGTTTTTAACACCAAGAGTTTATATTTAATGGAGATGGAAAATATTATTTTTGACAGTGACCAAGTATCAAAAAAAAAATGTCGAGTATTTCCTTAAACCAACATATCTTTTCTCATCAATGAGCCTTGAAGCTGAATGAAAAAAAAATGATACAATCAACTTAGTGATATTAAGAGCAACACCAAACAAATTCATCTTGAGCATGTGGGAGAAATTTATCATTATGTAATCAAAACTTACATTCCATCACCAAACTCCTCATTGATTATATCTTTGATGCTCTCCCCAAAATGCATTACAGCTTCATTCAACCTATGAAATAGATGATCAGCCTAACCCAACAAATTAAGTATATATAAAAGGCAATTGATATGCATTACACATAACATATTCCCAACGTTAGAATCCTCAAAACACATTACAACAGAACTACCATGTATATACATGTCAATCACTTTGGTTTCATTATAATATGTCCTAAACAACTTACAATTACATTAACATTTTTTGAAAAAAAAAAAAGAAGCATGTCTACTTAAAGACATCCATGACAGTAAAAAAATGACATTTGACATCTCTCACTAACAAATTTATATCTAAACAATAATTCATCATAATAATGTTGTGTTAATAGGACAACCTCTCGTACCCATTTGGCCATTTTCACTACAGACAAGACAACAGCTGCATGTTTACTTCGCAACAGGCACATATGAGAGCAAAAACTTACGATTCTCCATTTAACAATCATATTTTTACCGACTTTTTACACTGCCTATATATAAATTAAATTATAGCGTTTAATTCTAATACACTGGTATTAGTATAAAAGGGTTTCACACTACCATTCATTCAATCAATCATGTTTTGACACATTATTAACAACTTAACATGATTAAGTGAATATTAAAAATAATTTAATCGCATTTTTAGAACTATCATTAGTATAAAAGGGTTTCAAACTACCATTCATTCAATCAATCATGTTTAGACACATTATTAACAACTTCACATGATTAAGTGAATATTAAAAAATAATTTAATTGCATTTTTAGTCTATGTATTTAGTAATTATACAATTTTAGTCTCTCATGTTCTAATTGTGCCAATTAGATTCCTCTGGTTTCAGGGAATCCTATGTTCAATCTCTGTTGTGTGCAAAAACTATCGAGACCAACCAAATTATGTTATAGTGCCCCGAGAAGGATTAGTAGTAGTATCTGACCCAGTGGGCTCAAGATATTCATGGCAAGACAATAAATGAAAAAAGATTCCTCAAGTTTTCTCCCACTTACAATCAAGTCCTTGCTTCCTAATTTCATCCATATTTAAGGGGTGGGACTCAATTGACACAATTGAATTTTGAATCACTAAAATCACACCATGGAATAACCGACTTAAAAATGCAATTAAGCCTAAAAGAAAAGAAAGTAATCAACAGTTGAATCATGATTATACTCGAAACTCAAAGAACCCATTTCACCTCAGACAACACATACATGTTCCCATCACAATTTCACAAGTAAAAATCCAACCTTTTCTTCACCTCATTGTTCCACCACAATTTCATAAGTAAAAACCCAACCTTTTACACAGAGAATAGGTGCATAGACAAACAATGATGGAAACCTGTAGACAGTGGGGTCTTGGATGAGATTAGGGTCATAAGACCTCAAAGGGGGTCTCATCATCTCATGGAGAAGGTCTTCGGGCAGGTCGGGCAAAGCTGCCCGTAAAACAGGGGCAGTTTGGGGTTTGAGCTGAGCCTGTCTTCTGAGAAGCTGAGCAACATAGACGTTGGTGAGTCCAGTCTCCAACGCTAACTGATTGTAGGACTTGCCACTCTTGTCCTTCACACCTTGCAATCGTGTCACTATGCTTCCCTTGTTCTGCTCCATCTCAAATTGCTGCTAACTCTGATCTTCAGATTGTGATGGAACTTATCATGTTACAACCTAAATAATTATTTTATTGCCATTCTTCTTGTTGTTTCTTGAAACGTAAAAAGAAAATATAAATAAATAAATAAATTATCCATAAGAGTCTAGTGAGAATAATCCAACTCGGTTATTGATCAAGTATTTGATTTGAGTGTGTCAGAGGTTAAGTTTAAGTAGTGGAAAGAAGTAAAACCCAATTTTTCTTAGAACTGTCAAAGTGGGCTCTAGCCCGTGGGTCAACCCGGCCCACCTTGAAAACGGGTCGGGCCGGGCAAAAAAAATGAAAAAAATTATGATGAGTCCAAAAATGTGACCCGGCCCACTTTCGACCCGGCCCACCCGGGTTGAACCCGTGGTGGGCCGGGTGGCCCACTTGACCCACTTACTAACCCATCCCCTAAACCCACTAACAACTCACTTAACTATTTATTACTATATATGCATTATTTTAATAAGATATCATTTTCTTTATAGATAAAGATAAAATCAATGTTAAATAATATGAGATTACTATAAATTTATCTATCCAAACCTCTAATAAAATTTAATATTGATGGATAATCACTCTCATGAAAGATTTTTTATTTTTTTGTTTTAATTTTTTAAAGTTTCACACTTATTAATTTAATTTTAATGTTGTATCTATGATACTTAGTTTAATAATTTTTACTTTAGACTAAATATTATTTTATATTGAAATTTATTTTGAATTATAATTTTTTTAAAAAAATCAGGTGGGTTGGTGGGCGGCCCGTTTAGCCCACCAACCCATGGTGGGCCGGGCCAGGCTAGAAAAGTTTACATAATAAATTTGGTGGGTCGGGCCGGGTTGGCCCACTTAAAAAGTGGGTTGAGGTGGGCCGGGTCAAACGGGCCGGGCTGGCCCGTTTTGACAGCTCTAATTTTTCTTGTTGAATCAAGAAATTTTAAAAAGACAATTTCTTTATGGATTTGATTTTTAAAAAGCACCTTGAAAGAGAAAAAGAGTGAAGAGAAAATTTATCTATTACTTATTTGAAAATTATCTAACTTGAGCTAACCTTGATTTTTTTTTTATTATTTATTTTATTTATATTTATATTAAATAATTTGACCTAATAATTTGGTGGTGTTATTAAAGTTAAATGGTGCTTTTTCTCTTATAAAATTGGTCGATTTTAATTTTTATCCTTAATTTTTAGAATACCAACGTTTGTTTATGTAATTATGAAATTTGATGTTAATTTCTTAATGAGGTGAATGTAATGTTCATCAGTAAAATAGTTCATGATGTTAATTATACGGGAAGGATATTAGTCAAAAAAATAACTATTTAGGTGAAGTTGAATAGAAATAACATTCAACACTCAAAGTACACTTTTAAAAAGATTATTAAAAGAAAGACTTATAGTTAGGTCTCCAAAAAGGTAATCGTACATGTAGACATTCAATTTCGTCTGGGGCATACAATTAACAAGATAGGACATTAGAGGGTCCAAAAGTCTAAATTAACTATTTTTAGTGGCCTAGAATGAGCTGTTCCAAAATCAGAACGGGTCGTTCCCAAGTCCGGAACGAGTCGTTCTTGAATTGGAACGGGCCGTTCCGAGACTCCTAAAAAGGCCTAAAATTGTAGGTTGGAACGGGTCGTTCCAGACCAATCAAAGGGCCTAAAATTTGTACCCCGGAACGGGCTGTTCTCATTTCAGAACGGGCCGTTCTGGTTTCAGAATGGGTCGTTCTAGGGTGCAAAAATAATACATAATGTTCATATCTGGAAAGGGCCGTTCCGGCCCACGTCTGATGCCTATAAATAGAAATCTCAGCCAAAGTTCTGAGAGACCTGAAAATTTCGTCCAAAACTCCTTAGAACTCGAAATTTCTCTCTCTCTCTCCTATTGTATTTCTTTAGATTTGTGAGGCATTTGTGTAGTGTGAAAGGTTGCCACAAAGTACCTAGAATTTCCATATCGGAAGATTTAACAAAGCTTGATACGAGGTATTTCAATCAATCTTCTTCTCTCTCTTTTATTTCTTATTTTTTATAAGTATTGTTATAATAAACGCAATTATGTAGATATTTCAGAGTTAATTGTTTAATTTAAATTTTATGCATGTAAATAATCATCAATAAAAGGGGATTTAATATTTATATTATTATTGTTTATAATGTTAACTTCGTCA